TTGCAGCAACTCAGAATGGTCGTCAGTAGTTTGTATGGTCCCCACGTGCTTGTATGCATGCCTGACAACGTCAGGGGAGGCTCCTAATGAGACCACGGATGGTGTCCTGGGGGATTTCCTCCCAGATCTGGACCAAAGCATCACTGAGCTCCTGGACAGTCTGAGGTGCATCCTGGCGGCGTTGGATGGACCGAAACATGATATCCCAGAGGTGTTCTACAGGATTTAGGTCAAGTGAGCATGGGGACCTAATGGCAGTGATGGTGCCACTGTCTAGCCTGTAGAGTCCCTCCATGGATATGCCTCCCCAGACCATCACTGACCCACCACCAAAACGGTCATGCTGAACGATGTGACAGGCAGCAGAACGTTCTTCACGGATTCTCCAAACCCTTTCACGTCTGTCACATGTGCTCAGGGTGAACCTGCACTCATCTGTGAAAAGCACAGGGCGCCAGTGGTAGACCTGCCAATTCTGGTGTTCAATGGCAAATGCCAATCAAGCTCTATAGTGCCGGTCAGTGAGCACAGGGCCCATTAGAGGACGTCCGGCCCTCAGGCCACCCTCATGAAGTCTGTTTCTGATTGTTTGGTCAGAGACATGCACACCAGTGGCCTGCTGGAGGTCATTTTGTAGGGCTCTGGCAGTGCTCATCCTGTTCCTCTTTGCACAAAGGAGCAGATACCGGTCCTGCTGATGGGTTAAGGACCTTCTACAGCCCTGTCCAACTCTCCTAGAGTAACTGCCTGTCTCCTGGAATCTCCTCCATGCTCTTGAGACTGTGGTGGGAGACACAGCAAACCTTCTGGCAATGGCAGGTATTGATGTGCCATCCTGGAGGAGTTGGACTGCCTGTGCAACCTCCGTAGGGTCCAGGTATGGCCTCGTGCTACCAGTAGTGACACTGACCCTAGCCAAATGCAAAACTAGTGAGAAAAGATGAGTAGGGAAAAAAATGTCAGTGGCCTCCACCTGTAAAACCATTCCAGTTTTGGGGGTTGTCTCACTGTTGCCCATCTAGTGCACCTGTTGTTAATTTCATTAACACCAAAGCAGCTAAAACTGATTAACAACCCCCTCTGTGACTTACCTGACCAGATCAATATCCCAGGAGTTTCATCGACTTGATGCTAGACTCTGATTAAAAAGTCTTCCTTTAATTTTTTTGAGGTGTGTATTTTCTATTTAGTTTGCAGGGAATTTCGTGATTTGGGCAGAGGGTTTAGCAGTACACCGTATTTACGACCACATTTCAGAGTCTAAATAACTGTTTAGGTGGACATAGTTGTCACAACGCATTTTATGAAGAACAAAGAACACCAGGCCACTGGTCCACAAACCACACATGGTACATGGTAATAATTCAGAAGACACGTAATAAAAGTAAAGGAGACTCAAAAAACATTTATTTGTTATTTTTCAGTGCGTTTTCATTGTTTTCAGTGTATTACAGACACATATTCAGTACAAAAAAACAATACCTTCAGTATAAAAATGAAAATAAAGCAAACATGGATGAATAGTTTATTTTTCAATGAACCCCTAAAGTATAACTAAAGGAACATTTTTTTTTTCTAGTTTTGGATGGAGTGGAGAGGGATTTGAACCCCTGTTAGTTTGTATTGCTGTCTATGCCCCCAAGAGAGATTTACCCTATTTACCATTATAATTGAAGTGAAAGTGAAAGTAAACCCCAAATTTGGGGTTGTTGCCAGAAAAGTAATAGAGGGGAAATCTTCCAATGGGGAGTTCTGCTGCCCCAAGGAATTCCCTTAATTTGCAGGGATTTGGTCTCACTTCCTATTAGGCTGAGGGACAGGAAGTGAAGGGAAATCTCCCCAATGGGACACAGATGGTGAAAAAAAAACCAGACGGGGTTATAACCGTCCCTTGCTCTATCTGAAATGAAAAAACATTGTTTTGCCTTTAGTTCTATCTTAGAAGAATTATGTCAAGTAAATCTATAGGCATTTTTTTTTTTATTTTGAATAGAGTAAGGGAAAGTTACAACCCCTCCCACCTTTTTGCCATCTGTGTACCATTTGAGAGATTTACCTTCACTTCCTGTCCCAAAGCCAAAACAGGAAGTGAGAGGAAATCCCTGAAAATTAAGGGAATAGATTAAAGTGTGACTAAACCCACAACAGTACAATCAGTCTGTATATGCAGTAAAGCATGCTTGTTATACTCACTGTGGAACCTAAGGGGTTAATCTTCTGCATTGTGTAAAAAGGCTGTTTGATCCTGTCTTCTCTGATCCTCCCCTTCTTCTACTGTCCCCAATCCATCTGCCATAGTTATAGCAGCAGTGGCAAGTTTGCACATGCTCAGTTTGGTGTATATTGCTAGAGAGTTTGTTGCTTTTGGATTGCAGTAGGAGGGGGTCCAGTCCGGGCTCTCCCGTCCCACTGTGGTTTTAGGAAGATTATGGAAAGTTTAGAATCTCTCTTAAGAGTTTTTCAGTTTTATCTTTGGAAGCTTTCATTCACTTATCAGTGGTGCACCGAAATGAAAATTACAGTGCCAAAACAAAAAATTACAGATGGACTTTTTTTTTAAATTAATGTGGCTGATGTTTTTGCATTGAAGTCAATGGGACGCGATTTCGCATTGAAGTCTATTGGATGCAATATTGCATTAAAGTCACTAGTGGGCGTTTTTGCATTGAAGTCTATGGGACACGATTTTGCATTGACATCTATGGGATGCAATTTTGCATTGAAGTCTCTAGGGGGCGTTTTTGCATTAGAGTCTATGGGACACGATTTTGCATTGAAATCTATGGGACGTAATTTTGCATTGAAGTCTCTAGGGATCATTTTGTATAGAAGTCTATGGGACGCCATTTTGCATTGAAGCCTATGAGATGTGATTTTCCATTGAAGGCTGTAGGATGCAATTTTGCATTGAAGTCACTAGGGAGCATTTTTGCATTGTAGTCAAAGTGACACAATTTTGCATTGAAGTCTATGGGACGTGATTTTGCACTGAAGTCTAAGGGACATGGTTTTGCATTGAAGTCACTAGGGAGCATTTTTGCATTGAAGTTAAAGGGACGCGATATTGACCTGAAGTCACTAGGGGGCGTTTTTGCATTGACGTCAATGGAACGCGATTTTGCAAAATGGTACATCGGTGCATCCCTACTTATCATTCACCATGTTATCATTAGATTCAGCTAGAATAGGAAAAAAGTGTCTGGCGCATGTATAAGACCGTGCTCAACTGGCTATTACATTATCCATGGAATTTCATAAAAGTTCATTAGAGTCCATGAAAGGAACTCATTCCACTGATGGCAGCTGGCGCTTCCCCCAATTTCTCCTCCATGTTGTCATTAGAACAAGAAGTAGGAGTCTTCAATGGAAACACAGACAACAATAAACGCACCAAAGTGTAGAGGTCTATTTGGCTTCATTGCTGTCTGTATCCTCGTTGTGCAGATCCCCCATTATGTTCTGGCTGGTCACCAGGACAGGAAGTGAGGGGAAATTCTCCAATGGTGTCAGAAACAGCAACAAACTAAACAAAAAATCATTCAGCTGGAGTTCTAGTAGTATAATGTACACCTGGACCAGGGGAAAATAATTCCAATTAATGCTAGAGTTATAGACGAAGCACTATAATATGCAACAGAATTTCATTTTATGAGCTCCAGTACCCTGAAAACTTGTGAGTATGAAGAGGACAGGCATCCAAAAATGTTCAGTGCTTGACCAACAAATCACCAGGTCAGAGCATTGCCATGTAAAGGGTGCCTAGGCTTTTCAGCAAGCCGCTATTTAGAGGGTAGAGAAGAGAGATGGCAGTGCCACTCTAAGTGTAGATGGTTAAAATCAGGCAGATTTCATGGTAAAACTGCACTCACATAGATAGGTAACAGGTAGGCATGTCAAGATACGGAGGTCCAGTGGGAGCATCAGGTCCCTTGGCTGCGCTCTGGGTGTTTTTCTGCCGCTCCAGTGGTTTCCAGGGCTCGAGGAGTAGCAGAGGGGTGCAGGGAGGCTCGCAGGGATGGTGTCACCGCATGGACTGGGTTTCCAAGATGGCGCATGTTCGGAGCATGCTCACTCCTACGGTCGTACCTGATTTTAACCGATCGTCCTGACGATGAGTGAGCATGCTCTGAATGCGTGCGATCTTGGAAACCCGGTCCGTGCAGTGACATCATCCCTGCGAGCCTCCCTGCACCCTTCTGCTACTCTCTGAGCCTTAGACACCACTGGAGTGGCGGGAAAACACCCAGAGCACAGCCAAAGGACCTGATGCTCCCGCTGGACCTCCATCTCTTGACATGCCTACCTGTTACCTATCTATGTGAGTGCAATTTTACTATTTAATCTGCCTGATTTTAACCGTCTACACTTAGAGTGGTGCTGCTGTCTCTCTTCTCTACCTGCATTAGGAGTATCTACAAGCTCTTACAGCCGGTTGCCTCCTCGGACAAGTCCATACTACTACAAGCCCCCCACTACAGATGGACTTGGACACCACCTCCACATGGACCTTCTACTAACCCCCATTGCTGATGGTCATCCCCAAACGCACACAGGGTAGATGCGTCTTAGCGCTCCCTCCCCCCACTCCCCTCACTATTTAGAGGGGATCCTCAGGAGCTCTAGTGGCAAATTAGAGGGACAAGATATCATAAGAACGGTAGAAACATTATGGTACCAGTTCTACAGTAGCATTATACTTTGTTTTTGCTTTTTGTTTGCTCCCAGTACAGGTTTTGCTTTGAGCCGACCACAGACATGATTGGGCAACAGTCATATCTATGGGTCGAAGCTAATGCTCCCCGGTTACCAGATCATAGGTAGGGGGACTGCCACTGTGTCCACTAAGATACGTTGTCACCAAAGATATATAAAATTGGCTACCTGTTTTTTTTTTCCCACTATGACATAATCATGCACGCTTGGTTGATTCCTCCATTGATGTCTCTGTAACAACTTGATGTCCTTCAGACAGACCTGCACATCTGACCACCATCTTACGTCTACAGCAAGATTTCCTTGGCTTCAATATCTTCCACCTCTTTTCTCTTGTGGGAACTAAGATGTGAGATGAGGGAAGATTTCCTTGAGAACTTTTTCTCACATTTGGAGCAGGAAAATGGTTGAACACCGGTGTGGACTCTCTCATGTCTAACAAGATTTGACCTTTGAGTGAAGCCTCTTCCACACTCTGAACAGGAGTAGATGCGATCACCGGTGTGGATTCTCTGATGGGCAGCAAGGTTTGATTTATCAGAAAAACATTTCCCGCATTCAGTGCATAAAAACGGGCGGTCACCTGTGTGAATTCTTTGGTGTGCAATGAGATTAGGCCGTCCGCTGAAACATTTGCCGCATTCAGAACATGAATAAGGCTTCTCCCCTGTGTGGGACCTCAGGTGTGAGATGAGGTGTCCTCTCCGGGAAAAACATTCTCCACATTCAGTACAGGGGAAGGGTTTCTCGGACCTGTGAGCTCTCTCGTGGTTAACCAGAAGCCACCTTTCTAAAAAACATTTGCCACAGTCCCTGCAGGAAAATGGCTTTTCACCTGTGTGGCCCCTCTGATGTCTAATAAGCTGGTTTTTCCAAGAGTACCTTTTCCCACACTCCGAACAGGTAAAGGGCTTTTCAGAGGTGTGGGCTCTCTTGTGTTTGGCAAAATCCGACTTCTGTCTGAAACATTTCCCACATTCTAAACATGAAAAAGGTCGTTCCCCTGTGTGACGAGTCTGGTGTCTGATAAGTTGATCTTTTGAAGAAAAACATCTCTCACATTCCAGACATGAATATGGCTTCTCCCCTGTGTGTGACCTCTGGTGGGACATGAGAATTACCTTGCGGGAAAAACACCTCCCACACTCGGAGCAGGAAAAAGGTTTCTCAGCTGTATGAGTTGTCTCGTGGTTAATGAGGTGAGATCTGGTAGTAAAACATTTTCCACATTCAGAACATGAATATGGCTTCTCTCCTGTGTGAAGTCTTTCATGTGTGATGAGAGATGACTTTCGCGTAAAACATTTCCCGCATTCAGAACATGAAAATGGCTTCTTGGCTGGGTAAGTTCTCTGGTGTTCCGCAAGCTTTGCTCCCTCTAAAATATGTTCTCCAGGTGGAGAAGACAAGAGTTTATTAGCACTGTGTGGTGTTGGACAGAGATTTGGGGTGATGGGGTTTTCATCTGAAGGATTGAATATGGAATCATCATCCTCTATGTCACCATCATGAAAAATAACAGGGCGTTGCTTGGTGCCAAACCATCTGTATTGTCCATCTGGGGGCAGTGGAGAAAATACAGGAATAAGGTATGTATCAGGTATATTACAGGGAGAAGTTCTACATTACATCCTCTGTCATAGTTTGAAACTCATACAAAGAGCTTACAAAGCTTTCCATGGCAACATATAGGCTCCCCCTCACCCCCCCCCCCCCCCCCCCCAAAGTTATAAAGGTTGATGGCTCCTGAGTCCCCCACTGGACACATAGGGGTTTATTTACTAAAGCTGGAGAGTCCAAGATCAGACTCCCTTCTGCATAGAAACCAATCAGCTTCTAACCTCAACTTGTTCAATGAAGCTTTGGCAATGAAACCTGGAAGCTGATTAGTTTTCTATGCAGAAGGGAGTCTGATTTTGGACTCTCCAGCTTTAGTAAATAAACCCCATACTGTCTCCCCATTACTGCCTACTGACTGAGATTGTCAAAGTGACTGAACAAGGACGCTATTTTCTGGGTTATTACTTATGGGGAAATTTCATATTTCCTTATTATTATTGGCTCAGCGATATCTAAGAATGAATCCTTAGCTGACTTCATACTATAGGAATGTCATTACGAACTGACCAAATGACCAAGCTCTTTCAGGAATGTGTGCTATCTTCCTTCAAAGGCAATAATGCTGTTCAGGGTTTACAATTGATCAAATGCTACCTTCTAGTCCTCTATATATACCACAACCAAACTTAGAATAAACTAGCCCTGTAGCAGGGCAAGCACGCACCTGGTTTGACCATTACGTCAGGCCATAAAGACAGGGGACTCCTTGACGAAAGGCATTGTCACAGAAACCACCATGACTTGGGGTCCTGGAAGGGTCTGGGGGTCAGCCTCCTTCCAACCAACAATGGACCCAGGACTAAGGAGACCCCCCTCTTGGGGTTGCAAGGAATCTTTTCCGCAAGAGGGTTATATCAATTCTCCGGGTACCTGACTGGTCATGAATTATACCAGCTACCCTTTCCATGCCATTAGGGCTGGCGAGATTGTTTCTGTCACCCCTTGACATACTGTGCATAGTTAAATTCCAGCATATGTGGGGTTAAGAAACTTTATTTTCTGTTCCAGGTTTCCCGGCATCAACTATTGTTTGCTGTAATTAGGTTTAGGTGGTAAGCTCTCACTTTGTTTAATCTCACTGATGGACTTCAGGACATAGCCTGGATGTACCGGAGAACCTCAGACCAAAACCTCTGTATAGCTGCACATTCCGAGAAGATGTACATGAAACCAGCCCCACCAGCAGAACAGCGCCAGGTTAAAAATTTTTAGCAGTCTTAGCTGGGGTCATATATATTCGGTGCAAGAATTTAAAAATGCATTAGTTGGTCTAATACAAGTCTGGTATAAGCCTCATCCCAAACGTCTTCCCACTCCTCCATGTCCAGATCAGGGACCACTGACTCCCACCTAGACCTACACACGCTCAGGAGTTTATGGGTTTCAGGGAAAAGAAACTTGTATATAGTGGAAAAAGGCCTAGGTAACTTATCATCTCTCAGAAAAGGGGAAAAGGGAACCCTGGAGGACCTGAACTGTGCTTGATATGCGTGCCACAATTGTATACAGCGGAAAAACTGCTTATTAGGAAGGTGATACAATGACTAGAACTTATCAAAGTTCTTAAATTACCATTATTTGTAATGTCACCTAATTTTTTAACCCAATACCTTGTCCACGCAATAAGGTCCTCATACATGTAGAAATGGGATAGATTAGGATTTTTCCATAGGGGAGCATGAGCAGAAGGTATGAAAGGTCCTCCAAACTCAGCCCCATGCGCCACTATCCAAGCCCACATTACAGATCTCATTGAGACAGTTAAAACGTAGGGACTTGGGACCTCTACACACTAGGTGGGCCAGGGCTTCATAGAAGCCAACTACAGCCGCCTCTAAGGCCACAGTAGCATCATCCAGAAGGCAAGTCAACCATCCGTGTGCAAAAACTAGTTGGCCAGCTAAGAAATATTTATAAAACTCTTACACAGCTAAACCTCCTTCCTTCCAAGGTTGTTGTGGGATCCCGAGACGGAGCCTGGGGATACTACCTTGCCAGAGAAACTCATAAAGCAAGTCATGTATAGATTGGAAAATCCACACAGGGGATTCCGCAGGATATATAACATAACCCACATGGAAGAAAAATATATTTTAAATATATTTTTAAAATATTCTTCCCAAATATATTGACATATATTATTTGAAATACTACAATTTTGGCCGTATTCAATATATTTCAAAATGTATTTCAATAAATAAATATATATATACTCTATGTTGAAATGCATTTTTATTATAAAATATATGAAAAATATTTTTAAAAATACATGTTCAAATATACTGTGTGTCTTTAAAAATCAATTCATTCAATCTACATTTTTGTAATGCATATACAAATATACGTAAAAATATATGTTAAAATGACTTTTTTAAAAACAATGTTAAAAACAATCTGAAGAATATATTTAAAAAAAATATATTTTTAAAAATATTTTTCATATCTTTTGTAATATATAAAAAACGCATTTCAACATGCAATATATATATATATATATATATATATATATATATATTGAATATGGACAAAATTGTAGTATTTCAAATATATGTCAATATATTTGGGAACAATATTTTTACAATATATGTACAATATATTTTTCTTCCATGTGGGAGCAGGGTTGTTTTTTTTTTTTCAGAAAATAGGTGCAGGAACTAACCCTTCTGAGTCCTCCCCCTACCCGCGTCCGAGTACCGTCCCTTGGTTCCAACCCCTACCCACCTCCTAGTACCACGTCTTTTAGAGAATATGGAGCCAAGTATCGTTTTGTGTGGTGCTAAGTAATTTGTATGGAATTTGTTCATGACAACAAGAAGAGCAGTAAAATAGATCCCCTGCAGCCAGCAGCAATAGACCCTCCTCCAACAACAACAGATTCCCCCAGCAACAATGGACAACCACAACAAAATATCCCCCAGCAACAACAGATTTAAGAGCAGCCAGAATCAACAGAATCTCCAGCAGACAGAAACAATAGACCCCTCCTCAACAGTAGATCCCTTCCGGTAACAATTGACCCCCTAGCAACAACAGATCCCCACCAGCTACAATGGACCTCCTCAGGAACAATATACCACCATGCAACAATGGATCCCCCAACAACAGCAGAATTCAGAGCAGCCAGCATCTATAGACTCTCCAGCAGCCAGAAGTAATAGAGCCCTCCTTCAACAATAGATCCCCACCAGCAACAATGGGCCTCCTCAGCAACAATATACCACCATGCAACAATGGACCCCCCCCCCCCCAGCAGCCAGCATTATTAGACCCTCCAGCACACCTCAGCGCCCCATACTATTAAATACATTCAAAGCTGGAGATGGCGGAACTGTGTTCCCCCGCGTTCCTGTGTTCCCCCACGTTCCTGCGTTCCCCCCCTGTTCCTGTGTTCCCCTGCGTTCCTGCTGAAAAAAAGCCATGAGTGGGAGTAGTTTCATTTTAATCAAGTTGAATTTCCTAATCATCGAGAGAGTGATATTCATCCAGAAATTTATCTTCTGCTTAAAATGAGTAACAATGCCCATATGGAAGAGAAAAATATTTTCAATATAATTAGGAAAAAAAATTATATATGCGACATATATTTACAATATATTGGCCTATATTTTAACGTATTCCAAAAATGTAAATTAAAATATATTTTCCCAAAGGCATAAATTTAAAAATATATTTTTCAAAATATATTTTCCAGATATATTTGAATATCTAAAAAAAATGCTTTTAAACATAGATTTTTAAATATACTTGTAAATGCATTCCAAATGACACTTTGATATATATCGCACGTGTGTTCTGAATATATTTTTAATAATATATTCACAAATATATTGAAAAATATTGAATACGGCCAAAATTGTAGTATTTGAAATATATGTCAATACTGTATATTTGGGGAGAATATATTAAGAATGTATTTTTAAAATATATTTAAAATATATTTTTCTTCCATGTGGGTGGGTGACACATTCAACCGTATAAAATCTGACACTGAGTAATGGTTAGCTCTAAATATTTTTCTTGAGTTACCGATTGGAGAAGTGAAGTAGACTGCCTATTGTTTTCTTGTGTTTAATTGTTTACCTATTTATGTAATGTAGTTTTGGGATCATACCTAGGGGGAAGGTTTTTGTGTATATCTGTATGAAACATAATTGTGGTCAGATTGATTGTCATGCAGGCAATGACCATGTCGGAGATTCGAACCAATAACCCCAGTGCTGCAAGCAAATGTGTTAACCACTAACCAATTACTACACAAATGGCGAGATTAATTCAGTGAACAAAATGCACAGAACCAACCCATAAATGAAAAAACATCCCTTGAACAAGAAAATTGGTAAACACATTCTGTGGATGGTGTCTGTTGTTCACCTGTGCTGATCTCTATAGGGATTTCCTCCTCTTTTAATCCTCACACGTCCTTCTTCCTCCTCGTCAGCTTTGACATCTCTCGGAGTCTCTTTGGTGTCCTCTGGGGTCTGTGAATAAAGATGAGAGTGAAGCCCCCTGTACTGAGATGTATGAAGACCCCATAGAGTGTGTGTTGATGGAGACTGGTCACATCTCAATAACATGATGTGAGGAGGCATTATAGCTGGGGTCTCCAAATTTCTTAAATTAGGGTCAGTTTATTATCCCTCGGACTGTGGCCAGTGGGGGTTGAAAATGCCCTAGTATCAGCAAGCAAAGACAATGACTCAAGCTTGGTGGTCAGATGGAAGAAAAAAAAAAGTGTATAGCGCCTGTGGTAGGAGGAGGAATAGTGCCCCCTCATTGGTGTCAGTGGGAGGAGTAGTGTGTCATCATTAGTGTCAGTAGGAGAAATAGTGCA